GAATCCAGATCTCCCCAGAACTGCTATTCTTCCTGGAGGAATTTTACCACTGCATTTAAATTACAAAAACCCTTTCATTCAAAAAACAGATGCTTCAGACTGCAAGTACTGTAAATTCAGTAAGTCACCTTTCAGAACTAGCAGCATCTTCTCAAACAGGCTTCATAGGGACCTGAATTCAGGTGGCTTTTTCTCAATTGCATTTAAGCAGCTGAAAGGAAAGCAAACCTATCCAGAAGCGCTTCCCACTTTTTGACAAGTTTTGTTAGCGCTGCTGAGACTTCCCCGCACCCTTTGTTAACAAGCTATTTTTAACAAAATGCAATAATAGAAAAGAAAATATCATTGCTGGTTTTGTGCAAGATTAGGAATGTGGCCAGTCTTACAGAAATTCAGCTAAAGAGGAATGCTGGTTTAAGTGCTGTGCCTTTCTAAACCTGTAGAGCGCATTATTTTGAGGACTCTTGGTATCAAACAATTTGGAACCAGAAAGCAGAAGCCCTAGAGAGTGTTCATCAACTCATTTTATTAAGCAACTGCCAAGTCTCAACAGAAAAGCAATCAAAAGTCTACGAAGATTTATTGAATGTTGGCCTGTAGGTTGGATTTACTAATATAGGCAGACTAATTCAAAGTAATTTCCCTTTAATTTGTAGTGCTGTAGAGCAACAAACATATATTATTGCTGATTTTACAGCCAGCAGCCTTGGTAATTACCCATGGGAAAGCCAGAAGTGTGATTTTCAGACAATTGTTACTCAAGTGGGGAGGAGAGGGAAGAATGGTTGGTTCATTCTTACAATGGGTTAAGAAAATAAGGTTTCATGACAAATTGGGGGAGGGATCCATGCTTTTTACAATTTTGCTCACCGTCATGTCTACATATTATAGGGCAGGGGTCTTCAAACTTGACCCTTTTATGACTTGTGGACTTTAACTCCCAGAATTCCTCAGCCAGGCACGCTGGCTGAGGAATTCTGGGAGTTGAAGTCCACAAGTCATAAAAGGGCCAAGTTTGAAGATCCGTTATAGGGTAACTTAACTTTCCTGCCAACATTAGGCATTTAAAAATAAATAGTAATACATGTCATGTGTGAATTGGTGACTTTCAAACCCTTTACACATGCAAGGGGATATAGGGAAAAGCTCTGTTACTAAGCTAAGTGGGACTTATTAACAAAACATTCACCTGCGCTCTCCTCAATGTGATGTCTAAGCCCATCAGTGAAATGTATACTGATTTCACTCACTTTATAGAAGTGGAAGAGGATCCAGAATAACCTGTACCATTATGATTGCTATTGGGGCTGTGGGGAAAAAAAATCTGTGCATGAATAACAGGTTATCTGGTTTGTCCATGTCAGAACCAAACATTTGGAAATAGCTGAAAGGGGAAAATGAAGAGGCTGGGAAGATAAGTCTGGCAGGAGAGCTGCCCTGTAGTCCATTTGGAGGAGACAGGGAATAAAAAGCCAACAAGCAAGAGACTTTGGTTGTACCACAAAAAACTAGAACAACTAACATGTTCTAGGGAGAAAATGGTTTGTTCTTTGTGACAAACCTTCTCTTTGCTTTCTAGTCATTTTTCTTTTGAAAAACCCTTTCCTCCAGGGATAGTCTGTTGAGAGCCACAGAATATATAGACCTGAAATGAGGCCCAAAAGTGAGGCTAAAGCAAATGATGAAAGAAGCAGGATCCTGAGGAGCTGGAACCTAAATCTGGGAAGTCCTCCCTTGACAAAGTTCTCTCCTTGAACTTTAACGAAGAACAAGTATCTCTGCAAGGAAGGCCTTCCATTCCCTTCTTATTCCCAGAGATCTAGTAATCTTGACCAGGGTTGCCCTAATGAGGACCCCTGGAGTGAATATGTAAAGAATGTGTTGGGTAAGGAGGACTATGTGGAGAAGGGAACAACAAATATATGTGTGCATATGCACAGCAATGCCTATTGCCTTAGAAACCAAAAAGAACTACAGGATCAACCATATGGTAGAAATTCCATAATGACCTGAGTTCCATTGCAAGCAGCCTAGGAAAGAGAAATTAATCTGATGCTTTAAAAGCTGAGGAGATAAACATCAACATAAAGCATTGATTCAAAAGATCAAGTTTGACTGACTTGCACACCGACCTTCAGCAGGTCTAGATTACTGCTGAAGTTCTAGGCCAGAGGTAGGCAACCTTGGCTCTTTTATGACTCGTGGACTTCAACTCCCAGAATTCCTGAGCCAGCATGGCTCAGCTTGGAAACCTCTCCCTTTCCCCTCAGCATGGCTGGCTCAGGAATTCTGGGAATTGAAGACCACGAGTCATAAAAGAGCCAAGGTTGCCTACCCCTGTTCTAGGCAATCCCAAATCATTGCAATCTAAGAGGCAGCAGATTTGCTGGATTTTAAAAGTCTGAAAAAACTATATTATATCAGAAACACATTTTAAGTTCAATAAAACAGCATTGGTCTCATCAGCGGCAACTCATATACTGTGAAGTAAACAAGTGGATATGTAGATAAAAATCTATTTTTCTTTTATCCTTCTTACTAATCTATAATTCTGATGCATGAAATCTGGCATCTAGTACACCATCTGGTATCCAACAATAATTCCTATCAGTCAGTTTTAATTTAAAAAGAAACTTCCCAAGTTCTAATTATCTGAAAGCATCCAAGAAGCACTGTTACTCAAAGAATGAAGTTAATTTACACTGCTGACACTATCCTGGTGCACTTAACATATCTGCAATTTACCCATATCTCTTATATAATTATTAGTTAATAGACTGTTCCAGAATAAAAAGGAACCCATTGATCAAGAATGTGCTAATTTTGCTTGATTGACTTGCCTGGATTCTTTAGATTACTGTTTGAAATGCTCCCACTAAAGTCCCAGTTTATGCACAATCATTCACAATCCTCCTTTTTAAAAGGCACTTACTTCCAACATGAGGAGAATCAAAACCAGGAATGTTATTAGTTCTACATATGCATATACATGTATGCACACACATATAATCATAATTACTGCCCTCCCACATGCATCATATACATACATACATACATACACACATACACACACACACACACACACACCAACATAAGCAGAAGAAATGATCTGGCTGAGATCATTTTGGGAATAGACAGGCCAAAAAAAGTCATAAATCTTACACAGAGGTCTTTAGGCTATGCGTCATGCAGAGAAGCAAACTGAGGTTTCTGAGTTCAACTAAGGTTCTCTCTTCATTGACAGCAGGGAAGACTAAAAATCATTACCTTCACCGGTCTCACACACAGACACCTCAAAAAAGATACGGCACAGTTCAACAAACTCATGAATGTCTTGCCAGACAGAATCACTTTGTTGTATGCAATAGTTCTTTCTCAGATTCAAACTAGATTCACAATATTTTTTTTCTTATGTGGTAACTTGAAATGTCAGATGAGGGAAAGCAAGGTTTGAATAACCCAGTACAGAATGTCTCCCATTTACCACTGCAATACCAAAACTGAAAAAAAAATTGGTATGTGTAACTATTGTGTTCTCCACAAACCACAACAATCCTCAGGGCTGATGAAACAGGATATGAAAAAAGTGAACCATTTGGTTCAACCACCTGAAAAGTATCTTAATACCAAGTATATGTTCTCTCTTTGTGATATATGAAAGTCTGGATCCATGAAGCAATTAAGACCAGATCTCATTAATCTAACTCCTCCCCAGATGTCTGGGATTGCAACTTCCAGAATAGCACAGTTAGGGAAAGGCTGAAATATTTAAATGGAACTTCCATATTCAAAGACAGTATTTGTCTTTTGTCTCTGGTTAAAAAAAACTATAAACATGCCCTCATATCATGCTTGACTCTTGGTGAACATAAGAGCATTCATGCAGGTATTGACAACACTGTGGAACTGATGCTTGCTACCTTTCTCAATATGTTTTTATGACTTCTCAGTCTGCGGATTCCCTGATCTTTCACACAATTTCAACCCTAGGCCAATTAAACTTAGATTCCAAGGCCAGATAAAATTGGCTAGGTGATGCCACATGAGACCTCTCACATGTATCTGGGGACTATTTATTCTACCTTATCTAAAAATGTCCTTAAAAATCTCAGTTTTGTTTTTCTTAAAGGGCAGGCTGGACTCACTAATTTTTTTAGTGTTCTGATTAGATAACCCAGTCTTTTCCAAGTCAATGCCTTCTCGATGTAGTAAGATACACTTCTCATAGTTTCCAGTTAGGTTGGGGGAAATGGCCAAAGGATAAATGTCTTCAGAAATCACCTGAGCATAGCCTGAAGGAATGCAATTGCCATCAATTGTAACATAATTCCTGCAGGAACTGACCTAGAAGGGGAAAAAAAAAGGAAAATCCAAGCTATTTCTCCTCTTTAACATTAAACAAAAATCAAGATTGTGAGATTACACAAATGCCAAGAGACACCCACTCACACAGATTGATAATCAGCTAATTTTGTAAGCATGAACATGCCCACTCAAGTGACACATTTGATGGAAAAGCAACCAGCTCCCATAAAGCTGCTAAAACCAGAAGATTTCCATTTAGCCATATATTATGTAGTGGATTAACCTTTGTTTGTTTATTTATTTCCAACCTTTGGTATTTTTTACAAATAACTCAAGGCTGCCAAGCATATCCAACACATGTTTCTCTTATTTTCCCCACAACAACAATCCTGTCAAATGAAGTTGGGCTGAGAGATTGTGATTGGCCCAAGGTCACCCAGCTAGCTTTCATGGCTAGAAAGGTGGGACTAGAACTCAGGGTCTCCTGCTTTCCAGCCCAGTACCTTATTCACTAGATCAAACAGATACACAGTAAGTTATCTTTTTCTAGTGTTTGTTTTAAGATGTTATATATTATAGTCATAAGTCACTTTTTCAGTGTTGCTGTAACTTTGAACGGTCACAAAATGAACTGTTGTAAGTTGAGGATTACGTGTGTGTGTGAGAGAGAGAGAGGGGGGGAAACAAACTAAGGTAAAATGAGAAAGAAAGAAAAAAAGATAAAGGGAGAAATAAAAGGCTAAAGGTACAAAAAGAGGAAAGTAAATAAGAAAAAAGAACGTAGAAAAAAGAAGATATAAAAAAAGATATAAAGCAGTGGCTTCCAATCTTCTTCACAGCACTTATAAGTATACCTATATTTAACCCCTTTCTCTTAAAAGTTGCATCATGACTCCTTCTACTATCTATTCTGTCTAATCAACAAAACCATAAATCATAATCAGATGCTATATTTTTTTTCCTCTCCTGCTCTATGGAGTAGAGAGTTGGTCTCTGACAGAAGGCCACCTGAAGAGACTAGAAGCATTTGAAATGTGGATTTACAGGCGGCTGTTACGTATAAGCTGGGATGACAAGATCAGAAATGAGGAGGTGATAAGCCGCCTGGGAAAGCCAAGGGAAATCATCAAAACAATGAAAAAACGAAAATTAGAATATTTCGGACATGTGATGCGACACCCAGAAAAATACGGCATACTCCATTTAATCCTCCAGGGAAAGATTGAAGGCAAATGAGGTCCAGGCAGAAGAAGATCGTGGCTTCAAAATCTAAGGGACTGGTTTGGACAAAACTCAGCAGCACTTTTTCGTGCAGCTGCTGATAAAAACAGGATCGCCAATATGATTGCCAACATCCGATAACGGATATGGCACAAGGAGAAGAAGAAGATAAACCATAAGTTCATTTTTTAAAGCAAAAGATCCATAATTCCTCTAGCAACTGATGGAGCCAGAGGGAGCTGGGGGGCTGTTCCTGCTGATATATATTGCCAGAACTGCCATTCATACCATCTTTGGTGCTGGATGGGGTTGCACTGGCCCCTACAGACCGTGTGTGCAATCCGGGAGCCCTCCTGGATTCATAACTCCTGCTCAAGTAGCAGATGGCAGTCGTGGCTAAGAGGGCCTTTGCGTAATTTCATACTGTGCACCCATTCCTGGATCAAGGGGCCCTGTTCACAGTCACTCTTGCCCTGGATACCTACCACCCAATTGGACTATTGCAATGCACTCTGTATAAACAAGAGGTTTCGTGAAGAGTCTAAAACAGCCATCCAGCCTCAGCTACAAAGGGATAAGCAAATGTTTACTGGTGTACTCTCTTCCCTCCTTTCTTCCTGCTGAGGAAGGCATTCCAGCTTGAAAAGCTAGCTGTCTTCTCTGCCTGGCCAATACACTTGGGTCCTCACATAGTGACCATTATGTTCAGCAACCCTTCGAAGTTAGGATAGTGCCGGACGAATGGTAGTTACAACTGATCCTCAGAGTTATGGCCATTACCATGTCTCCCTGGTCACATGATCAAAGTTCAAGTGCCTGCATTTATGATCACGACCTGTGCAACTCCCCGCCTCCCATTTCTGCTCTTTCAACCACCCTCTACTCCGCCATCCTTGCTATGTGCACATCACTGCCTCTGCCACCGCTGCCGTCCCCAGCCGACCTATTTCCTCTCTGCCTTAGTGGGAAATTGCTCTAGAAGCCAGTCATATTCACAGGACGCTGACTGGTGTGTCAAATTAAGAAAGAAAGACTGTTAGGTTTCACCCGAGTGCTTTACTAAAAGCAGGGGATGGGGGAGAAGAAAACTCTTCCTTCGTGAAAAGATTTCTCTTTCTGTGTGAATAAGTCGGCTACACTTCCCTCAGGACAAACATGCATTGGAGCAAGGAGGCAGCTGGCATGATGCATTGTGGCCTATAAGGTTTGTGGGAAATGTTGAGGTTCACAGGAGCTGAGCAAAAGAAAAATGGGGTGTGTGGAGGGGGGGGGAGACGTGCATTAGAAAAGGCGGCAACACCGGGCAAATAAGACAAATTAGAAAGAACATAGAGAAGCTACACCAGTAATAACTACAGAAAGGGAGAAGGGAAGCCCAGAAAAGAAATGCTGAGGTTTTATCTAGTTGGTAGGTATATAAGGCAAAGAGAATGAAACCTAACACTTTGAGCTACATAGAGACAGACAAAAGTAATTCTGTCTCATTTGGCCACTGAAATCAGTGTTTGAATTATCTGGTAGGGCAGAAGGATAGTAAGAAGGGGGCTTGGCTCCTTCAATCTCTAACAATAGTTACACATCCCTTTAGACCTCGTGCTTAAATATGCAGAAGGCATGTTTTCATCATGAATGGGAGCAATTGGGATCAATTTAATTAATAACTGTTCTCAATCCCCCCCCCCCACACACATCCCTATAAACCCTTTCCCAGGACGTTATTTGAGCATTTCCTGAAGCAGAGAAAGGAGCCATCTTGAAAATACATAATTAAACAAATGAAATCAATCTATCTCACCATTAATGGCAGCCTTCCATTCCTGCCGTCAATCAAAAAATAAAAATACCAGGTTGACATCAGCAACAACACCCAGCCAAATATCAAGGAACCGTTTTTATAGAGTTCAAAACACTCTCAGGTTGACAGTTAAATATTACAATAATAAAAGGCACTCTGGTTCTGAAATGTTCTATTCCGTGAGAATTTCACTTGAACTTCTTTCTGCAATGTGTCTCTTTGTGCACATAACAGATTAACAAAATAACAGTTGGAAGGGACCTCAGAGGTCTTCCAGTCCAACCCCCTGCTTAAGCAGGAAACCGTTTACCATTTCAGACAAAAGATGGTCCAATCTCTTTTTAAAAACCTTCAGTGTTGGAGCACTAACAACTTCTGGAGGCTCTTTACATTTGGCAGTAGAAGTCTACCAGGTGCAAATCTCCTCAATTCCTTTATTTTGGGTTGTCAAAGGAAACATTTCTCCCCATTACCATATATCAAAGTCCTTAACTGATGATTTATGGACTATGGTATACAGTTCATTTTGAAATGTCACATCTATGAGTTTCAAATCCTTTTCATACTTTATCACCCTGTTTCCCGTGCTTGCCATCCAGGTGCCTCCAGGAAATGTACAAATATGGCCTAAAGTCAACCACTTTCCACTCTACTTTAAGTAAAGAACACAGTTTCCTATGCATCTATTTCTATTCCCAATATTGTAATAATTCTGCTCATCATTACCTAAATTATTTGGTCACGGACAGCTTACAAACAGGCCACTCCACACTGATATTTGCGAGATTGGCAGCATATTTTTAATACATAAAATATAATAAATAAATTTCCAGGAGACAGGAATGAAATGATGTAAAAATATTAGGTTAGGATTTATTGTTCTTTTTTATTATTATTCAATGCATGACTGGAGGTTTCTCTTGAGAAACAGATTACTGGCCTAGCTAGCCAGATAATATTACTGTCCCAGCACAGATAACAGTTAAAAAAAAACTGCAAATGTTCTCCAAGAAAATATTCTCCCCAAAATTTTGGACAATATAAAATGTGGTAATGTTTTTGAGAGAAGCCTAGCAGATTTATAAGGTGAGCTGCTGGATCAGCCAGCCTAGGAAAAAGCCACTACGTTCTTCCTTCTATTCCAAATTAACACAGAAGTAAATAAAGATGAAATTGGATAGGAAAACCCTTATTACTTGCGGTGTGTGAAGTAATTGGGGGGGGGGGGGGAGAAGGTTCCAGACAAATCAAAGAAGACTGGCAATTAAAAATTGACTCTGGCTATAAGCTGCCTTCATATGGCCTGTTGAGTCAAAAGGAGTTGGCAAAAATACAGTTTCTGTTTTCTTTCTAACGAAAAATCATCAGCGGTGGGAAGAGATCGCTACAGGCCAGAGCGACTCTTTTCTGTTGGCTCAAGTATTTGGTTTTATAGCTCTGCACAAGGATCTGAGGTCAACACCACATCTTTCTGAATTAGTACCTCCTGCAAGGTTAAATGATGATGCTTTTGCTTTCTTTTTATTCATTGGCCTCTGGGTCAACCAATCTGAATCATGCCACCATGGCAACAGTCTCTTATCGCTATGAGCAACAAGACATCTTTTATTTTTAAACTCTCGTCTATGTTCCTAAGTTTCTTTATAAAACAAAACAAACAAAAACAAAAAAAGTCCTTCCATATGCCTTGTCATGCAAGACACTTGGGAAGTAAACAGGGTGCTTCTTTCACACTGAGCTTAAGGGAAGATATGGAAAAGCTGCGTGTCTGTAAGCGGGTGTACAGGGTGCTTGCAAGAACAGCAGTCTCAGCTTCTGTACAGTCGTGGGAGGAGGTAAAATAGAACAATGGAGGCAAAGATGCTTTAATTCAGTTGCAGATGCTTTAACCTGAGTTCCTCCAGTCATGGTGGTCTAAATACAGGGAAAGGGAAAGGGAAAGGGAAAAGGAAACGAATGCTGTTCTGTTGTTGCTCTAAGACAGGGGTAGGCAACCTTGGCTTT